ACTCTCTGAGGCCTTGTAGTCCTCTTCATCCAGCCGTAGGTGGGCAGTTAAAGGCACACACCTGTCTAACTGCCTTGGCTCTGAAGTGGTTCTCATCACTCTTGGTCCACAGGATGGACCGCTAGTGAAAGCTAGTCACTTTAACACACCCAAATGCAAAGGAGACTGGGATATACAGTCCTGGCTGGGCAGCCACTTCCCAGTGACCACTCTAGTCTATGAAAGAATGAATTATTCTACGAGTGTGTGCCTCCACCACTACCCTTCTGTGATTAAAAGTAGATATTTTCAATACCAAGAGCAATCTGATCTATGTCTATGAGGAGTTTTATGGTTTACAGATAGCCTTTCATATACATGTGTTTTGGTCAGCTAAGAACAACAGTTGAGGCCTGACATCTTCCCCAAAGATAGCATGATACTGGAAATAGCTCTGCAGCTAGCCACCCAGCCCCCATCCCAATCTATAAAAGAAGGCTGGGGGAGAGATAGAAGGGGAGAGGCAAGAACCACTGGGCTGCTTCCTGGCCTCCTCCTTGAAGCTGAAAAAGCGGGGAGGCTCTGAGAGAATGGCTCCTAGGGATTTAGGCTGGCTGCAGGCCTGGCATCTCGTTTTCCAATTGGACATCTGCGATGCTGCAGACTTGCTGATCAGCCTCTTTTGCCTAGTGATGCAAGGGAGGAGAGAAGAGGAAGCGACGCAGAGCCAGGACCGGCGGCCTTGAGGATCAGCCTGCACCTCACCATGACGTAGGGCAAGGATGTGTGTTTCCCATGGGTGAACGGGTGCCCCAGCAGAGAGCCAGGCATGAGCCATATTGCAGGTACAAAAACAAAGGCAGGGTCCTTAGAACAAAGTGGAAGTGGGGTGTACTGGTATGGGGAAGTAGTGAAGAGGTCAAGCCTGAGCTGGACTTGCCACAGAAAGGTCCCATGCGTTGGGGAGGCCCCACATGGGTCCCGTATTAGAGCCAGCATTTGGGCACCTACAAAAGAGTGGGAAGCCAGCACTAATCTGAGGAGCTGCCACAACAAATGAAGAGGACTACAACTGTTTGTTAAAGACCCTCACGGCTATCCTTCCCTCCTCCCTGCCCCATCTCCTCAGAAGAGCTGAGTCTTACTTGATAAAGTGGGGAAGGCATTGTCTTAGAGCCTCACCAGAGCGCCCCTGCTCTCCTCCAAGCAGTCAGGGTGCCAGCTCAAGACTGTGCCAGGGCAGGCAGCAATGGAGGGTCCCATCAAGCTGGAAATGGAGGCTTGGTCCTTGGACGGAACTGAGCTTGTAAATAGCTGAAGTCACCGTGAGGTTACAGGACCTGTCCAAGTTGTCATAGAGGATCCACCACACAGTGGAGGAAGAGATAGCAGAGCCCAGCTGAAAGTAATGACTGCAGAGGAAGAGTTTCAGATTCGTACCCCAGGGCACTGAGATTCCTCATCGGACGATTTTCACCCAGTCATTGGGCTCCCCGCCACACACACACAAGTTCTCAAGCACTGGGGGTGTGGCCAGTTATTGCAGGGCCAGTTACCTTAGATTAGCTTCCAGATGGGGGCTGGGAGCTCACCGGAGGGCAGGTGCATTTTCCTGAGGGGGGGGGCAATAATTCTCATAAATGTAATAAGTCTGAAGTAATGTACATAAAATGCACCATGTAAACTGTGACAAGCAAGTCTTTTTGTTCTTGGACAATGTAAAAATTGCAAGTTTTCACTCAATATAGAAGAGAAAACACAGAGATAATCTACATTGTGATAGTCACCAGAGTCGTTCACCAAATGTTCTAGTTCTGGATACGTACCAGCTGCCTTTGAGTTAGGTGGGACCATGTGATTTGCTTTAGTCATTGAAATGTGCGCAAAGGGACATATATCACTCCCAGATGGAAGCTTTTGGTTTGTTTTTGTTTTTGGACTCAGCAATCATGGAAGATGTGGAAGATGGCGCCTCCCTCAGCCTGGGTCCCTGAGTGAGGACAACAAAGAGAAGCGCCCCCTGCTGACATGATGGATATGTTGCAGGAGTAAGAACACCTGTGTGATTTAAGCCACTGAGGTTGGGGGAGTGTATGTTACTGCAGCCTGTCCTGGTCTCCCGACTGATTCTCACAAGTCTCTTAGCAATGTGCCTGTGGAGCGACCACATCCAAGTATTCTACCATCAACCACATGAATGATCAGGGTCACCCTGGTTGGGGGTGCCACATACGGGATCGTGGAACATTAGCTAGAGTCAAAGTTTTGGCTAGGAAGACACCAGGCAAAGGAACCTCCGCCTTGTTAAAGAGTGCAACTTGTTAAAGGAAAAACGGGCGGTGTAAACAGGAGAGCTGAGGCTGCACTGATGAGGTGTCGGCTAGGGCCAGAGTGCTTGCCCAGAGGTGACAAGAAATGACAAGAGATACCTGTGCCCTATCCTTGGCACAGGCATTTAGTGGGTTGGCATATAACCAAGGTCATGACCCTTCTCCGTATCAATTCATGAAAGGCACACAAAGGGGAGTAGCGATTCAAGCCCTAGCGTTGAGGGCTGGATTTGGTAGCACTACATGAAGAAAAAGGTCAAGTTTTTCCGGTCCTTACTTGTCCAATGTAAAAAAAGCCAAATACCACAGACCAAAGGATCAGGGAAGTGCCTGGGAAGATCAGCCTCCTCGGTGGGCACACCTGTAAATTATGGGTCATTCAGGAAGTTGGGAGTAAGTGGCCAGATAACTGGAGTAGCTCTCCCTGGTTTTTTTCTATAAGGGCTTGGTTGGTACTGCCAGCTGCCTATCCCACCCAGCTCCTCTTGGGAAACAGAGGTGGGTGCTGGCCTGGAGGCCCCTCCTCTGATAGCATCACTGGGGCCCTGACAAGATGTCTGGCCCCAGAAGCAGTCATCCCGTGACGTCCTGACTGAAAATGTCCCCAGCCTTCTCCCCACAGAGGCTAGGCATGGCTCAGGAGCCTCTTGGTGAAAGAAGAAACAGGATAACTCACTTTTCCTTGATTCTTGGTCCTGCTGTGGTGAAACGAGCTCTTTTTGAGAAAGCAGAGGAAAGCTAAATGGGGGGCTGTAGGCTGGCCCTGCAGTCAAGTGTGAGCTCAGACCTGCCCCCTCCCACGCCACACTGGGTCTCTCTGCTGGAGGCAGAGTCTCCCAGTGAGGACCTACATGGGCAAATGCCTCCCTTATTTCTCTTCCCCAAATTCCTAAAGCCTACGAGAGGCATCTGCAAATTAGCAGCTTTTAATAAGACCCTACGCTGTGCAGAGAATAAATGCACACATGACTGAATGTAAGCACCTGGGGTCTGAGCTGGACAGGAGGGAGAAGGTAGCTGTTTTAGCCCCTCAAGGAAGGCAGCTGGGGGAGTTGGTGCAGCTCTGGGCCTGGACTCAGAAAATCTGAGGGTGGGCTGGCCGAGTGGCACGATGGTTAAGAGTTGGCTTGGGATGCCGGCTCTGAGCAGCAGGGCCCCAGTTCGGATCCCACATGAGGGCCAGTGACGCTGCACTCTCTACAGCTAAGATGGTGAACAACAGCTCCACCTGGAGCTGGGCTGCCGTGAGTCACCAGTGACGGCGTAGGCTGCAGTGAAGCTGAAGTAGGCTGTCATAAGCTACCATGAGCGGCCGGCAGCCAGCGTGAGCTGCCAAGAGCCACCATGAGCGGCTGTCCAGTAGCCGGCGACCCATCTGCCTCACCCGGGAAAAGCACATTGATAATACACAACTATACTGAAGAACAAAAGGACAGCAACTTGTCTGTTCCCCTCCCCCAATTCCCCAATAAAATATTTTTAAAAAAAGAAAAAAGAAAATCTGAGGGTGATTCCTGGCTCTGCCTTTCCTAGCTGGGTATACCCAGCAAGTCGCTGAAATCCTGAGTTTGAGTCCACACGTCTGAATGGGGATTCCTGTCTCACTGGGCTGGGGTGAGTATTAAATATAACAGGTCTTGTGACACAGCAAACACAATGTCAGCACTGGAAGAGGAGGGACATGTGTGACCACGTTCAAGGGCTTAGATCAGCGGTTCTCAACCTTCCTAATGCCACGACCCCTTAATACAGTTCCTCAGGTTGTGGTGACCCCCAACCATAACATTATTTTCGTTGCTACTCTATAACTGTAATTTTGCTACTGTTATGAATCGTAATGTAAATATCTTTTTGTTTTCCGATGGTCTTAGGCGACCCCTGTGAAAGGGTCGTTCGACCCCCAAAGGGGTCGCAACCCACAGGTTGAGAACCGCTGGCTTAGACAGACCCTTTCCCAGGAAAGCTTAGCTGAAGAAAGGGTTGAGGGAGAATTTTTCAAGGGGCATTACCTCCTATTCATCTGCAAATGACAAGGGGGCAGAACAGAGCAAAAGAAATGTGGAGGAGGTTCTCAGAGGGTGGAAAAGAAGCCATTTCCTGAGCCAGCTGTGTGTGTGGAGAGAGGGGGCAAACGGAGAAGATGCCAGAAGCACCGGAGAAAATCAGAGCCTCATGCCTGCTGCCAGTCGCCACCTGAAGTCCTCCAGCTCTGAGAATCACACCGGTAGCCTCGACCTGAATATGTACCCTAAAACCTGGGGCACAGATTGCATGAACCCCATTGGGGGTCTGCTCCCCGCCTACAGCTGCTTCTCAGCCCGGGGTCTTGTCATCTGAACTGTGGCCAGTGTGCCCACTCCCACCAGCCTGAAGCCATGGAATGGGCTTCCCCCCAGTCACGCCCCCAAAGTGCTACCCATGACATTCCGGTGATGGAGTGGGTGAAGGTAAGAGGGAGAAGTACAGAGGGCACAGACACTGTAGCAAGGGTCACAGGGATCCGTCAATGTCCTCACAGGAGAGCACAGTGCCACCTCGTGGCCACATTTGGGTCCCCTTCTTGTCCAGCAACTCGGACTTCATAGGAGCGGAGTGGATGGCACCGGAGCCAAGGAAAACAATGAAACCTTGTCGGAATGAAGTCTTTCCTAAAGGCTTCGGAGGAAGCCACCCAAAGAAAGAGGCAACGGCTACCAAGGTTGACGCATTTTTATTTTTTATAAAACAAGCTACAAATAGTCTCCCTCCTCACAAAGGAAAACCACACAACACAGCCTACACATGTGTGAGCAAGACGACGCCTGGGGGAGGGTCTGATTTCTACCGGAGGTGCCTTCTCTGTGTTGACTTGCTTCCTTCAGGCCAGAGAAGGGGCTGGGGTCTGCTGAAGGCCCATCCAGCTCCAGCACACAGTTTTCTGGGCCAGGTTAATGAGCAAGGGCTCCCTTTCCACCTTACCATGTTAGTATGGGCCTCCAGTCATCCCCGAGACAAGCTCTCGGACTTTCACCAGGACAGCAAGAGCTTCAGATCAAGCCCCCAAAAGGCCGTGCTTCTCCCTGACGGGCCCTCCCCAGGGCTGGGTTTTGAGGAAGCTGGTGTTTACAGTGCCAAAGCTTTCCAGACCAAGATGGGGTGCAGTCTGCAAGGTCGTGCACTTATGGGACTACTAGGATGGGAGGCGATGCAAGGGCAGATTCCCAAGAGCAATCCAATAAGGGCACCCATGCTGGGGTACCCGCCTTTCCTCCCTGCTGACATGGCTGCTCACGGGGAGAGGTGCTGAGGGTCAGTTGTTGCTCTCTGTCTGAATGGACATGGTCACCTGGGCAGAGGAAGGCTGGGCAGTCCCCACTGGAACCCTGGGAAAACGTCTGTGGAAAGCTAGGCCAGGAGTTCCCCCTAGCTGGGTTACTATCCCTGCATTTCCAGGGGAGGCAGAAATTGGAGGCCCAAAGTCAGGGTTGCTCTGGAATTGACCTCAAGCCTAGAAGCCCTTAAGAGCATTTGAGGGAACAGGAAGCGTGTCAGCATTGGGTTAAACAATAAAACCGGTCAGTTACCTACAAGGTGACCAACCCAACTCCTCGCTCAGGCTTGTGTGGACCACTGAGGAGTGCAGGCGGCAGGGGTGGGGGAGGGCAGGAGAGAGGATGTGGAGGTAAAAAGCCAGTCTCACCTGGAGGCCTTGAGCGAGAGAGCTAGGTCTCAAAAGCCTCACCTGTGAGTCTGCAGGTGAGGCGCCTTCCTGTGGGCATTGCGCTCACCAACAGCGCTTTCTGTCCTCTTCCTTCTGCGGCTGACACATGAAACATCTACCAGATAAGTGGCCCCATGTGCGCCTTTTTCTTCTTTGCCTCTCCTCCCTATACTTTACAGAGTAGATGCTAAAAAATGTTTCAACTGACCTAAGGCAAATCCGCCGAGGAGATTTGCTTTGTGGGTCAATAGGATACCGGTGTACCCACCAATCCTGGGCCACCTGGGGGTCTGGATAACAGGAACACGTGGGCATGGGAGGAGTGGTGCCTGAGCTGGCTACTGCCCTCCCTCCAGGGCAACCCCCAGCCCAACTGCCCTTGAGAAGGCCAAGCGTTATGTGGCTTGTCAGCCTCGATAGCTGTGGCAACGGGGCGGTACCCTCCTCCCACCGGGAAGGAACGGAGGGAGTCTGCAGGATACACAGTCACAGGGCTCCCATGCACATGCGCACAGCGGTCAGTTTCCAAACATAACGCAGGTGGGCTGGGGATACAGTCCTGGGTTCCGAAAAGCTGGGCTGTGTGTCCAGAGCTCCCATAACCCAGAGTAGGGAGGGGGACGGGAATAAACAAACAGCAATTCCAATGCCTGTACAAAAGAACTATACAATTTACATATATATTTATATACAGTATATAAATCTCTTTCTTCTCAGTCCCAACAACATCCTCCCCACCCCACAAAAAAAACACCTAAAAGTTGTCAGTAGCAGATCCAAAAACTTACAATAAAAGAAAGAATCAACAGTCTTTCTTCCCTTTCCTTTTCCCACTGTGGTATTAGATATTGGTGTTTACAAATGAAACCAAAAAGAAAACACGCAGATACGAGTTATTAAAAGTGCAAACACGGTGGGCACCACTCATGTTACATGGGATGTGGCTGGGCCGTGGGCAACGTCGAAGGTTAGGTGTCTGACGATTCGTCCTGCCTCCCTGGTCTCTCCGCCTGCCCTTTGGTTTCCTGCTCCTTAGACGAGGCGTCCTACTGAGAAGGGGAGGTACAAAGAAGTTAGCGTTGGGTTTAGGAGAAATCCGACTGCAGTTATCAATTTCCCCCCAAGAGCAGCCTTTTCCACCTGCTGTTAGATATAGGACTGGAGGGGACACAGCTAGCCTAGGCTTTCAGATAAGCCCATGTTTTACCAGCCTATCCTTTACCACCAGGAGGCATCACAATGGCAACTGGAACACGTCTGGCATTCTGGAAAATAGGCCTTGCCTAGTAAGCACATTGGGGGTGTGCACTCTGCACAAACCGTACTTTTCTCAGATGCCAGCCTTTCAACCCGGGGCTGGAGCAGGAGTGGCAGCCGCTTGTTTACAGGTGGGGACAGCAGGATCCTCAGAGCACTAACCAGTCTTTCTCTTGTATCCTCGGCAAAAATTAAAAATGGAAGCCTAAGTAACTTGGCCAATCCTTCCATTCCCACTGCACGAGGGGGAAGCTGCATGAGGGGGCCCATAGAGGGGACCCCAGAAAGAGGCAACTTACTGAATGGGTTTGTGCCTGCTCGTTTTCCCTGAGGGAAGCTGCCACGACTAACACCTGCAACAGACAGGAACACAGGACACTCGAGCGGCCTTGACCAGGGAATTGGTAGAGCTTCTTCTCTGCCTCGGTCCCTGTCCCCTTTAACCTCCAGAACGGAGTTGACTTGGGAAAGAGCCCGAGGTTGTGTGTTGTGCTTCCTGTCTGTGGGTGTCAGTAGCCCTGTTCTGCCAGGGTGAACCCACTGTAGCCATCACTTTTAAACAAAATCCCTTTTCCATCAGGCCAGTCACTGGGGTGTCTCTTTGGAATGCCCTCAGCTATTAGGTAAGAAGGGCTTTGGTGCTGATGGATATTTGCGTAAGCTTCTTGGGACCTGGTTCTCCAAGTCACAGAATGTCGGAGGCAGAAGGAATCTTAGCCATCTTCTGGGCCAGCCCCTTTACTTGACAAATCTGGAAACAGAGGTTCAGAGCAGTTGAGTGACTTAACCAGGGTCCAAGTGACTGAACCAGTGCTCTGCTGACACCCACTCCACCCCATAGGGAGGCACCTGAAGGGCCCAGGTCCCCTAAAGGAAGAAGGCAGAGATGGGAGGCGAGCACACCAAGGGCTGGGCCTGCTCCAGCTCTGGGCGACCCCTAGAGGCTGTGTGGCTTTGGGCACACCCCTTTACCACCCTGGGTCTGTCTCTAGAAGGGAATAGGATCACAGCTGTGCTGCTGCTTCTGCTCTGCCTCTCTCACAGGATTGCCTTGAAAACTGACTGAATTCATGGAGGTGGATAAAAGGCTTTGAGGAGTATAAAGTGTTGTAGAATCCCCACCCACCCACGGGTCATGTGAACCCATAGCTCAACGCGCCCCAATTATACTAACCTTCCTTAAGACCTGAGAGAGTCAGACAGAACATGGGGTGGGGTGGAGAGCGGGGCAGATATTGGTCTATCCAATGTTACACATGAAGAAACAAACTTGGAAAGATAGGCAGCTGCGAAGTGACAGAGCCAGGTCACCTGGCTCCAGGTTCCATCTTACCCTGCTCCATCCAGCGGCTGCTTCTCTCAGTGGTGAGCAGAAAGCTCTAAGCATATAAAGAGGGGCCTACCGCAGTCCTGCCCACCAAGCTGAGACTCGGGAAAGAAAATGGCTCTCCCTTGTGAAGGCTTCTTGCACTAATCCCTTTACCCGAGTCATGTCAGGTAATCCTCATAGCAATTGTATAGGATAGTTAGAAAAGGATCAAATTACCCCCACTTTATGATGATGAAACTGAGGTTTAGCGATGGCATAGTTTCTATGTGGTGAAGCAAACTCAGACCCGGCTCAGCTTCCAGAACCATGTTTTAACCACCAAGGAGGAGAGGAGAACAGGCCTGAACCCAGGGCAGGCAGCATCCTCGGGCAATTCAAAGGGAGAGTTGAAATTTTTTTAAATGGAGGAATTAGTCTCCACCCTGCCTGCCTCACAGTATGGTGACAGTAATCTTGATGACCGTGCTTTATAAACTGGGAAGGACCAGTTAAGAAAGAGGCCGCAGCCCTTAGAATGTCTGGCCTTTTCATGCTGCAGAGAACTTACCTCCCCAGTAAGGAGCCTGGTTGCTAAAAATACCTGTGTTCGGGAGGCATTTCCAAAAAATTAGGTCCCTCCGACACAAAGCTACATTTACCCCCAAACACCGTGCCCTCCCCTGCCCCCTTTTATCCCCCCACCTGGCATGCAAGCCCTTCTCAGCCCACCAGAGGGCACCACATGCTACCAGATGACCAAGGCATGGGCTCCATTCCCTACATATCATCTACCCAAGTGGCTTTCTGCCATTCCCCAGAGCAGAGGGACCAAGGGGAGCTGCCTTTAGCTCATGGGTATGTTCCTCTACTATGACTAATTTGCTTTTGTGCATTCACCAAGCACCCAAGACTGGGCTAAGTCCTTCACACACACCACCTTGTTCAATGTTCACACCAAATCTGTCAGGTAAATAATATCATCTCCATCTTGCACATGACATAACTGAGGCTCAGTGAGTTTAGGTAACTTGCCCAAGATTACAGAGCTGCAATAGTAAGAGGAAGAGGCGGGTTCCACTTTCAGGTCCTGAGCCTGAGCCAGGACTGGCAGACACCTGGTGTCTGGCAAGGCTTCGCGGAAAGTTAGGAAGCCTCCCCAAACTCTGCGGACCCAAGGTAACCACACTCAGCCTCCTCTGAGCCTGTGTGCTGCGAGGACCAGAACTACCAGCACGGGAAGAGGGCCGAGGGCAGAGTCGCTACAGATCTCTGTGCTTCCATGCTTGCTCAGATCAGAAGAGCTCCTGGGTGGGCCTGGGGCTTACACTAACACTAGGTGGACTCTTTCCAGGATTGGTCCCCTGCCTGTGCTCCGTGAGGTAAGTACAGATTCCAAATGTGTCAAAGTGTGATGTCACCACAACAGGCAACCCTCTCATCCATTCATTCACTCATTTAACAAGGATCTCATGGATGGCTACTAGGTGCCATGCACTGTACTACATGTTAGGAATTGAGAAGACACAGTCCATGGCTTCACGGGGGAATCAGAAAAGTATACTGCAATACATTGTGATAAGTGCTGCTGACAGAGGCAATAATCTTATGAAGAAGAATAGCAATATTGAAATTCTATTGAGGTTTTCCAATGTTTCAGGCACTATGATAAATGCTTTCACTCATTGTCCCACTGAATCAGCACAAGAGCCTTATGAGGTAGATACTATGGTTACTCCCATTTTACAGATGAAGAAACTGAAGTCCAGGATGGTTGAGTAGTTTGTAGGTGGTACAAGAGCTAGTCTGTGGCAGAGGCAGGGTTTAAGCCATGACGTTGCACTGTGTCCTGGGGACTGAGTACTGTGAGAGCACAGAGAGGCATCCTCATCAGACAGGAGTGCTCAGAGCAAAGAGGCTGCTCAGCCCAGAAGCAGGGCCAGAACCCAGCGATGCAGGGCACAGGTCCTGAGACTGGGTACGTTGGGTAACTAAGCCACTGCTCATGCTACTCTCTGGGGTTACATTGTCAACCTAGAGTTAGAACAAGGAAAAGCTCTCAGGTCTCTTCCTAAGCAACTCCAACTTTTCCAAAGCTTCCGTTTCACATAAGTCAGCATCACCCAAATCATATCTTCAGCCCAGAATCTTCACCTGCATTCACCCACTCATCCTTCAGGTGCATCCAACTTGGCATGTCCTAAATACTCATGTTCTCCCCTGTCCCCCTATGCCCGCTCTGCTCTCCCTTCTATGTTGCCAACTTAGTGACCCACCCCTCGGTTGTCCAAACCTTCATCCCTCTGCCCACTCAGTCACCAAGGTCTGCAGTTCTACCTGTCTCTTCCTTCCCACTGTGTTTTTTCACACTTGGGCCTCCATCACCTCCTGTCTGGAGATGTCACAGCCTTCTATTGGGTACTATGCCTTGCTCATCTCTGGTCTGTTTCCCATACTGCAGACAGAATAGTTTTTAAGCAAAACTGATCCTATAGCTTCTCAGACTGAAAGCTTCCGACAACTTCCCACTAACTAACCTTCTAAAGTCGAAACGCTTCTTTCACCTTGCCTCCTGTCACCTCTTCTCTCCAGCCATCCTCAAAGATGCACGTCAGCCATACTCACATCTTTCACTTCCTCTAAAACTCTGTTTTCTCATCTCTACATCTTCACTCTTCATTTGTCTCAGCGTAGAACACTCTACCCTCCTCTGCCCTTTCTGCTTCACTATCTCCTACTCATTCTGCAGGTACTGGTTTAGATCCGGGTTGGCAAACTTACCTCTACAGGGCTCAATCGCAATTATTTTAGGCTTTGGGGGCCATATACAATCTCTGTCATTTATTCATCTTTTTGATGAATAAATTACATCTCTTTAAAAAATACAAAACCCATTCTTGCCCACAGGCCATACGGAAACAGGCCATGGACTCGATGGAGCCCACGACCAGGGCTTGCTGACCCCGGGTTTAGACATTAGTTCCTTCATGAAGTTTTCCAAGGATGTCTGCCCCCACGCTGATTAGATGCCTCTACATATTTTCCTACAATACTCAGCACTTGCTTGCCTGTGACAGAGATAATTAGGTATTGACCAGAATCTATACTCTCCTCTTCTTCCAGGGACCCCAGCCTTTCTTTCTGTGGGTGTGGTCTAATGACTGAGTTCCAGCCAGTGAAATAGGAGAGATAATGTGTGTCACTGCCAGGCTGGCTCATAAAACTCCCCCACATGTACTACTCCATGCTTTACTCCAGCTGGCTGACTGGAGATGGAGATGACCCCCAGGGTGACCTTGGAAGCCACATGATGAAGATGGTGGAGTCATTCTTAGCCTGGATCTCAGAGTGACTGCACAGAGCAATCCCCACTCCTTCCTCCTTTCCCTAAACACACACACACACACACACACACACACACACACACACACACACACACACACACACACACACACCNACACACACACACACACACACACACACACACACACACACACACACACCCCATGACCTAGAATCACACTGAACTATTACATGGGCAAGACAAACAAATCTCCACTGTGTTGAGCCATTACATGTGTGGGTCTACTTGTCACAGCACCTGGCCTATCCTAATACACTCTCATAGCACTTATCACAATGTATAGAAATACTTTCATATGTGTCTCCTCAGTAGACTGAGAAAGGATAGGGACCTTGTGCTTCAATTCCTCCACGGCATCAGGCATCAAGCACGAAGTATGACACACTCCCGGGAAATGGTTGACTAAATGAGTACCAGGGGTCCCAACTACTGACAACTATTTGTCCCTGTGCTTGGTGGGCTATGTGCTGGAAGGCCAGGAACACAGGGGCGAGCACCCACCTTCTTTGCTCACACCCAGGCAGCCCTTCAGCTCAGCCAGTGAGATGACCTTGTCCTTGTTCAGGTCACAGTAGTCGGTGAAACGCCGGGCGCATTTCTTGGGCTTGGCTTTCTTCTTTACGTAGCGCTTGAAGGGCTTCATCTCCCGCTTGTTGATATCATTGCTGCTGTTACTGTCCAGCTGGCTGAAGTACCAGTGCACCACTCGCTCCTCCAGGGTGTGGCTTGGGTCTGGCTCTGAGAACCTGGGCCATAGGCAGACACCCCCACCCCAGACAACACGGCTCAGGATCCTGCAGGAACTACCAGCCCCACGTCGATTCTCTCACCATAGGTCAGGTGCCTGGGTATCCATGCTGGGCTGTGGGCAGCCAGTTAAAAATGGTTCCCCCAGCCAAAGACCTCCCAGATCCACTCATCCTACAGCAGATCCCAGCCACCCTCATCCAGCCTCAGGACTGGAAGATTCATTTCTCAGGGGTTGCCAAGTAGGCAACTCTTATTACATGAACCTCCTCACCCTCTACCATAGCTAGGAGCGTTTTTATACAGGATGGGTGCTCAAGAATATTGGCTGGATTTAATTCACCTGGGAAAGCCACAGCTGGGATCCAAAGTGTCCTTTACCTGGCCCAGTGTTCACTGCCAGGAAGCTGTTCTTCACACATGAATGTGTACACGTCTATGAATGTGGCTGTGGGAAAGGGTGCTCTAAGCCTGCACCACACACCCAGCACCAGGCCAGGTCCTGGGAGGGCTTCCAAAGTGAGAGGTGTAGCCCCTGGCCTCAAGCTGCTCACTGTCTCAGTGACACTGAGCCAAAAACGTGAAACCATGCAGTGACAATCAATGTGAAGTGTGAAGTTCCCATGGTCTGCCACTGTCAGCTCTTGAATGTAGTAGGAATTGAGAGAAGAAGACAATTGGGATGGACACAAACAGAGGTTCTAAAGCTGGCAAGTCCCAGACCTATTAGAGATGAGTCTCTCCAAGAAGCTTTAAGTCAGGGGGTCTGGGGTGGGCCCAGGAAGCCACATGTTAACTAGAACCCCCAGGGCATGCTGCTGAGAAGCACTGGGCTTGAGTAACCAAGAAAGCTTCCTGGTGTCTCAATGCACTGTAATGACAATGTCTAATACAACCCACGTATATATGGTGACCTTACAGTGACAATGTCTACATGTCTAACTGCACATGTCCTACCCAACCATTTTATTTATAATACTTATGCCTCATCTTTTCCCAAAAAGGATTCAGGGTGCTAGCTAATATTTCAAACTTGTAAAACTAATGATAGTCTCCCCTATTGCTGAGGGGAAACTGGGGTCTCTGACCAGAACAGAACTTAGGAGTCCCGTGGGATTGACACTGAGTGAATGTGGCCCAGGCTCCTGTGCTCAAATGCTGGGCAACTTTCCCTTGGTGGGGGGAGTAAGACTGAGCTTGGGAGTGCCGCGCATGCAAATACGTAGTCTGCGGCACACTGGGACACACTACATGACCGCCACACATCAGAAGTGAGGCAGCGGGACTTGCTGCTCCGCAAGGACCCGAGACCAGTGGTTCGGGGCCTGCCAGGACATTCTGAAGCTGTCCCAACAAGAAAAATATTCAAGGCACTTGCCAATGCCTTGGGGTTCTTCCCTGGGGCTTGCTGAGTTTTCCAGAGGGGAGGGGACCATCCCTAACCCCTCCCCTATGAACAAGCCAGCAAACTCCCACCTCTTCCTACCCCCCAAGTGACTTTAATGTTTAGGGAACAAGAAGTTTCATTACCAAAAAGAGCCTGCTAAAAGCCCAGGGCTCATTAAGTGGATTGCAGTCTTAGGCAGGCCCCCTTGGGCACCCTGAACTGATTCCAGGAGAGTGCAATTAGTGGATCTGCCAGTGGGACCTCATCCTGACAGGTTTAATGCAGGAGGACCTAGGGAAGGCGGGAGGGACCGGCTGCCTGTGGCTCTTTGGGAATCTGCTTCATCTGTCATGGAAGCCAGGCTTGGGAGGTTTTTGTAACAGGCATGGAGTTAGTCAATGTGCAGCTCAGATTTTTGTCTCTGCCAGTACATGATGTTTGGGTGTCTTTAAGCTTCCTCTATTTCACCTACAACATTCACTCTCAAGTCTGCTCCTGCAGGGCACACCAAGTGGGCCGCAGAAAAACTCTCTCTCAGGATGCTCGTGGCGCAGGAGGGAGAGTGGCTAGCTCCCTCGAGGAGCACCATGCTGGCCTCTGCCTTCTCCTTAACTTGAGGGAAGACCCAAGCTGCAGAGGAGAGCCAGGAGGAGCCCCAAGGGAGGTGCTTCAGCTATTCCCACTGGAGGCTTTCTAAGGCAGCTAGAAGTGGCGGTTGAGAGAAGAGGCCCCCCTCCAGTCAGGGGGCCATGAGAATCCCAGGCAAAGGCAGCTAACCTTTAGGCTCAGCATAGCGTCATGTCTACCTAGAGGCTGGAATAATAAAGCCTCAGTCACTGAGACAGGAAGGGATGAGGTCATCCGCCTGGACGCCCTGCCAGGAGAGGCTCGCTGCCTCCAACATGTGTTCCTGAAGCTCATGCCTGCCCAGGTCTCAGCACCTCCACTGATGGAGCTCCCTGCTCCCTCCTCTGGGTTAGTTTGCAGCAAGAAGCCTCTCTTCTCCACTTTGCAACCTCTAAGAGCTTCCTCCCACATGGAGGGACTGTCATTTGGCTCCTGCTCCCTTTTCCCTGCCTTTCTTCTGACTCTCTCTTCGTGCCCTACCTCCCTTTCCCAGAGAACCATGTTCCTGACCTCCTTATTCCCAGCAGGACCTCAAGCCCAGAGCACCCACAACTTCTGACTGCTGGCCGCCCTCTGTTCCCCTCCTGACCCATCCCCTGGGGACTCCGAGGACACTTCCCCGGGAGAGGCTCTCCGAAGCCTCGCCAAGCAGCGCCTCTGGACCCCTCTAACACTGACACAGCCCGCAGCCTGCCCTGTGGGGCCTCAGCGTCCTGCCTCTTCCCCAGTTAGTGTAGGGCTCTGTGCTCTGAACTCCTCTGACCTCCAGAAAACCATCTCCCCACCCTCACCCCCAATAACAGATCCCAGCTCGACATGTGAAGCCGGCAATGCTAAGGTCCTACTTTGGAACCCAACACTTTGTCCAAGAAAACTCCAAATGCATTTAAAGCAAGAATTTCTTAGCTTTGGGGGATCATGAGCCTATCTGAGAACCTAAACAAGCTATAGTCTCTCTCTCTAGAAAAACGCATACACACATAGAACTCTGCTTTTAGGGGTTTAATGGACCCCCTAAACCTCATCCATGGTCATGGACTCAGGTAAAGAACGCTTGGTCTAAAGGGAAGGAGATTCTTGCCATGCCCCAGAAGAATGTTTAAGCATGAACCTTCTGGAAGAAGATGAGGTGAGACAAAAGACAGTAACTGAGAGGAATTTGGGGGTTGTTCCCATATTTCCAGCAAAATATAATAGAAAAAAGAAAACTCCTAAAAGCATCTGGTTTAAAACTCTGTAAATCAAGTTTAGGGCTTGATTTATAACAGCCTTAAGTCCAAGACCTACCATGCTTCATATAAGATCTAGTTAGGACTGAGATCTATTGGGAGTCCTGGTTTACCAAGGACTGGGCATGTGTGAAAGAAGACACAAGAGGTCTCTGTTAACTAAGAAGAAGCTAAGACTTTCCCGGGGGGTGCTGGGTGGGATGGGGCAGGGCGGCCTCCCTGAGAGTTTCCAGGAATCTCTCAAGCAGTCTTGACTGGAGTCCTTTCCATCATGGTTAGACATCCCAGATTTACTCCTGACCTCAAAGCCATATCCCACTGATCCCTCCACCTCTTACAGCTTTCTAGAAGGATCCTTGAAACACTACGGCCACTTGCACTCACTGCTCTAGGCTTACACTGGCATCAAACTTCCAAGCTTTCTCTCAAACCTACACACATCATCCCCACTGCAGATCAAAGCTGCTGGAATCCAAAGCTGGTTACCAGACAAGGGCTGGGGACCCTACATTAGAGGATGCATGGTTCCTTAAGATCACTTAACAGCAATTCACTTGTCCATGCTATGGGCCTCCCTGCAGGGGAAGTTCCACTCCTATTAAAAGAGCTTATTGGGTATGCAAAACATCCAAGTTTCCTTGGCTATGGTGGGAAAGACACAGCAAAATGTTGGTGTCTGCCCTTCCTCTGGGCTGTTTTAGTGGCTGTCCCATTGACTCCTGCCCCCAGGGATAAGGAAACTGACTAAAGCCAGGGCCCCACTGGACTGGCCTCCATGAATCTTCTCCCACATTGCGAGGTGGCAGGTGCCGCCCTTCTCTACAGCACTTTCAGTTTTGCTTCTGCGGCCTGAGCCCCGCCAGGCCTTGGCTGCAACGCACAGCTGGGGAGCCAGCTCCATTTACCACAAGGAAACTTGCTTCAGCCAAGATCTTGGGCCCAGTTCTGCTGTCTCAAGCAGTTTTAAAGAAGGTGAGGTGTTACGGCCTAGAGGCTCTAGCCAAACTAAGCAGACCAACTGAGTTCCATTTGGACTCCGGTCCAAGCCCCGCCAGCTGTGCAGGAGGGTGGGGCTGGGAAATGCCAAGTCAGCCACATTCCAGCCTCTTCCTTGCAAGGCCATCAACAAGTAACCAGCAACCACACTGGGCAGGAAGGAGGAAGCCACAACACAGATGGTCTCTCCTTGGGGGACCCGTGAAGGGCCAGGAGGTTCATGTGGCCCATCTGACCTCCTCTCAAAGCTGCCTTTCTCTAGAGGGAGTGGAAAAAGGAGAGGATTCCCCTGCTCACGAAGATTCTTCCAGCTCAGATCTCAGAACTCTTCCTTGGGGGCTGATAAAGGCTAACGGGTACCATGAGATGACTGATCTAAGGGAGAGCTCTTTCCTGGTGGGAAGGACCACAGGGAAAATTCAGTCATCCAACAGACCTTCACTGAGGATAGCTGCCATGCAATGATACTGCAGGCTGCCCCTGCCATGCACTGGCCACAGATGGGTCTGTGGACACCCCATTCGACTTTGCCTATTTTTAGATTTGGGTGACACTGCTTTCTGTCTCCCCAAACCCCAAATCAGGCTAGAAAACCAGAAAAGGAAGTAGACACCTTGTTCTCTTCCATTCCCTCCATCTAAGAAGTCTTCAAATCCTATTGATTTCATCACTGAAGCTTCAGTAAATCATTCCTTCCCCCAGAGCTTTAGTCCATGCTTCCTCTGACCATTGCTGTAGCCTTCCTGCCTCATCTGGTTCCCCTCCTGTCTGGCTTCCATAGAAATGCCCATGGAATCATGTGGCCCCCTGCTGCCCTCATTGGCATGAATCACAAGGCCCAGTATGATCTGGGCTCTGCCCAGCTCTATAGCCTCATCTCCTGTCTGTCCAGGGCCTGCCTCCCAAATAGAAACCATACTTCTTGCAATTCCTTCCATAAGCCCTACCTGATTCATACCCCACTATCCCCAGGGCCTCCTCTGCTGGGATGCCCTTACCCCCTGGTCCATCCAGGTCGGGGCACTTTCCCATTTGTAAGTGAAACTGTGGCTCAAATGTCACCTCCTGTGTAAAGCTTTCCCTCGCAGGCCTTCCCTCCCCCCGAGACTCTGCAGCACTGCCTCTATGATCATACTGACTTTATAGTGCAATTACTTGATTAGAAATCTCTTCTTCCAGGAGCTCCCCCAAGCCAGGATTTATACCCTTGTCCTGAAATGTCTCCAGTACCCAGCATAGAGCTTATAGGAAGGGAGAGCGAAGGTACAAGAGTTTGTGCAAAACTAAAATCTCCATTCCTGAAAGGTGGTAGGCAGTGGGGAAGACACCCTCTTTTCTGCATTGCCCAAGCATCCTCCCTGTCCCTTCTTCCCACTGTCCCTGGGTGGGACAGTTTCCTACTGGCCTCAGCTGGTGCCCAGCTTTAATTGCCGGACCTTGAGAGGATGCAAGAGAGACTAGAATTGACTTTCTGGACCCTCTCATGTGTACCAAGATAAAGATGTCTTATCAAAACATATTTCTCTATCAGACAGTGGTCCATCCACCTATCCACCCATATTTCCAGCTGTTTATTCATTTAACAAATATTTATTGAGCATCTACTATGGGGCCAAGCACTAGTTTGAGTTCTGGGAATACAGCAAGAAAGAAGGCAGAAAATGTTCCTTCTCTGATAGAACTTAAATTTTCATCGGGTGGGGTGAGACAGACAATAAACAAAAGAGCAAAATATATATAAAAAAGATAGTGGTAAGAATTAGGCTGAGAATTAAAAAGAGGTGTGGCGATAGAGGGTAACTGAGCAGCTCCTTTAGACTAGGTATTGTCTGAGAAGGTGACATTTAAATGGACAAGCAAAGGCCAGTCACAGGAAGACCGGGGATCATGGTGCTTCTTTGTCACCAGGGCTCTAGAGCTCCAGGCTTAAGGAGCAGCTGGCAAGGAGGCCCTGGGGAAGGCAAGAGCTTGGCCTGTTTGAGGAACTGAGGAAGGCCAGCTGCTAGAACATGCTGAGAGGGAGAAGACTAGGTGAGACGGGGCAAGGCCAGCGAGACCATCCTGCAGGGCCAGGTCAGGTCAGTTAGGGCTTCCTCTGACTATAATGGAAATATCTGGGAGGGCTTTAAACCCAGGAAAACTGGAAATCCTTCTTTCTCTTCCCTCCTACCTCTACCTACCCCCTTCCTTGGTTCCTAAACTATTTCTTGGCTCATCTTGTCTACCTTTTAATTACACGTCCAGCCTCTAGGTAACACAATTACCAAATGCAGGTCAAACCTTTCATTCTCATCAAAACTAAACATGGTCAAGCTATATGAGCTTAAAATGAAAAACATGTTTAAGAGAGATTATTTTTAAAAACTTCTCGCAACTCTAAATTACACCTAAAAGAGAAGACTTTTTGGTTTTGTTTGTTTGTGTTTTTTTAAAGAAAAATATCCCTTCCCTAAGGACATGCTGGTATTAAAAGCATTTATAAACTTCTTAGTTTTTTATTTTCTGTAAAATCCCTGCAGCCTGCAACTCAAGGGTGAGGCATCAGTCATAACCACTCCTGGGCCCTGGCAGTAGGGTTATCTGCACTCTCGCCTGCTGGCCCAGCACCCACAGGTTCCGGTCTTTCCCAGCACCCTCAGCCTGCCAGGAGCGAGGCCACGCGGTGCTCAGGCTGGGCTCCCCAGAGAGTAAATATGATAGAGCCTGAAGCCTTGTCTCCTTAGCATGAAGCCTAAGCACCAGGAGGCTCCCCAAGTGGCCGGCGGAGCCAGCAGCCCTCAGCAGGTGGGAAGCACCCAGACATGGAAGCTGTAAGCTCACGCCCCTTCCCCCTTTTCTTTTTTCTCTTGCTTATTCTAAACATAAATATCTCACACCCATTTTTGTGTGAAATTACAGGTAGCTTTTTCATATTCCAAGCATAAATAACATAAAGGTATATAATACTGAATATGCCTTTTCAAAACTCACAGTTTCTTGGAGGTCTGGACACAAGCCTCTCTATTTTAGACACGTGGTCACTGAACACCCTGGGCTGCCCCCACGCAGTTCCTATTGGCTGGCCTGTCAGGCCCTGTCTCCATCTTCTCAGGCTTAGCGCTCTGCCCCCTCCACAGGGTGAGCAAAAACAGAGCCAGGGCCAGGAAACAGCCCCAGAGTTCACAAGACCGTGGGGGTGCTGAGAGCAAGCACCCTGGACAAGCAGTTTCAAAGAATGGCAACCCATGAGGCAACCACTGCACTCACTTTGATGTGACATGAAACTGGGTTTTCAGGATGGCTGCTTTTGTCCGCCTCTGGATGCAGCACTGACAACTGTGCTCACAATCCTGGTTCCCCACCCGAGATACAGGCTCATGGTCCTGCTGATCGCCACTGAGGCAGCTGCGCTTGGGCTCTCTCTGGCCCTGGGGGCCTGGGCCTGTCATCGTGGTGGCACTCCTTGCTTTGTTGACAACAGTTCTGCTTCTGGACAGATGTGGGGGGACTAGCCCCCGCTCGTTGGTGAGCCAAATAAGCTCAGAGGCAGGTTGCCCATCCTTCCCCAGCACATGGTACTTCCTCCACTGTGGTAGGCTCCACAGTGCTTCCCACACCCCTGCTGTGCCTCCCTCCCTGGCTTCATAATGGGAAGTCAGCCTCACAGACCCTTAGAGATCTGGTTCCTGCCCGCCTGCCTCTTCTGTCTCATCTATTACCACTCTCACCTCCCCTCCGCCCCCTCACCATCCACCCCAGCCCAGCCTGACTGAACTATGGATGTGCACTTCCCTGAAGTCACAATGCTCTTTCCTTTTGCCCGGAATGGCTTTCTTTCTTTTACTGGCTGTGTCCTACTTATCCTTCAAAACTCAGCTCACTATCTTCTCCTCCAGGAAGACTTCCTTCTCTGACTCCTCCAGTCAGAATTAGCAAACCCTTCTCTGTTCTTCCACTTCTGTTCTAGCACTTACCACACAGCTTATCAGTGACTGTCTACAGCCTAGTATCCCCACTAGGTTGCGCTCTTTGAAGGCAGGGACATGACTTATATCCCTGGATTTTCGATCCTTAGCGAAGTTCTTGGCATGCCATGCACGTTCAGTAGGTGCTGAGCAAATGGATGGATGGATAGATGGATGGATGGATGGATGGATGGATGGATGGATGGATGGATGGATGTGAGTGTCCAATCCCACTGCCCAGAGCCCCTTGGGATTCTCAGAAAGCCAAAAAGGCACATGGTTCCTGCCTTCTCAGAAGAGACTAGAGCCACCAAGTGCTCTGCACTCCCTCCTTCCCCTCTTTGGCCCCATAATAGGCCCATCACCCTTTCTGCCATTCAGGACTCGCACTGAATGCACCCACCTCTGAGACTAAAGTGCCGAAAGTCTCCAAACACCCCCTGGACTTGCCTGTCATCAGGTAACTACAAGCTATAGACAAGCCACTCCCAAAGAATAGGGATGGGGCCTGGGCAGAGAGATTTTGGGTGGAAGATGGGACAAAGTATAGCTATACAGTCTCAGGAAAACAACTGACTTCCAGCCCTGACCCTACGCAACCCATCCTTACACTCCCAGCCTCCCACAGCCTCTAAAAAGTCAGGGACCCCACAGTCCCCCCCTGGGCCTGAGTCCTGCTCACATTCTCACCTTCCACCTCCAGTGGGCGCTGCTGAGTTAATGGCCTGTACCATGTCCGTGGTGAGGGCATCCAGTAGGCTGGTGATAAATTCCATCTTCTTCCCTTCTGGACAGCCTGAAAGATAAGGTGAGATTTGAAGGTAGGTGTCAGGTAAATAATCAAGTAAACAGTTTCCCCAAAGACCACCATTCCCCAAACCTCTCTACAAGGTTGTCCTTCTTGTACAACCAAATCCACTTTGGAAAGCATTGACTGTTCAGATGATTTTCATAAACCTCCATAGTTCCTCTCTACCTGTAGCTCACAAGGGACCATCAGACCAAGTGAATAATAATGCTTTCAAGTTTCTTCCATCCCACAACTTTTTGCCGAGTATCAACTCAGGCACCATGTTAAATGTCAGGGATATAACACAGGGTTACAGGGTTCTTGTCCTCGTGAAGTATGCAGTCTGCTGGAGAGCTCAAGCTGCTTCTGGTATAGTACGGCCAAGCGGTCACACTAGAGTGTGAAAATGCGACTCTAGAGGTAAGGACCAGGTACTGAAGGGGCACAAGGGACAAAGACAACCCCCCAGTGGTCAAAGTTGACTCAAGTAGACCTACCAATTTATTGATCCAAGAGCCTTCCTCCTTTTTTCACTTTTTTTCTCACCCAGCGTAGATTATAATGACCAAATCTCCTTTATAATGCTCTCAAATCCTTGGTTTCTCTTTTCCTCCACTGCACTATTCCAGCAAAGCCCCAAGCACGGATGAACCTTTCCAAGCCTACACCCATGTCATTCAGCATTCTGGTGTACACACCACCACTCAACGGGACAGACGGGTGTCCCTGTGAACTGATTGCCAGCCCCACACGGGCCCTCAACACCGCCTACAGTCCTCTCTTGCAGGGACTATTTCATATTCTCTGCCAGTCCTCCAGGCCTCTGGTTCAATGCCACCTTCTCAGAGAAGCCACAGACTCTGAAGTAGACTCTCCCTGCCCTTTTCACAGCACCTTGCTCTTTTCCTTCAGGGTACCTGTCACCACTGCTTATATGTTTGTATTCATCTATTTGTGTGCTCTCTGCCTCCTCCACTATGTAAGCCTCATGTCGGTTTTGGTCACTAGATTATACCCAGGGCCTGGCACATCTGAATTCCCATTTGCTGAGGGGATGGCTAGAAGGAGGTAGCCAGCCTCCACGATTTCATGCTTGTGACAGGGTGATTTCTACATACCTCACTTGGGAAGCCCCTCACCTTCAGGATCCCCTGTTTTCAGCTCTCACTTCAGAGTCCTGATGCAGAATGGGAAGGTGGGCTCAGCTCCCATCAACAATGACCCACGTTTGTGTTGATTAAGACTACAGTGTTCCAAACTACCAACATTTAGTAATCTTGGAACTCACTGGCAGAGAACATTATAAAGAAGGGGAAACCCAGCACAGCGGCCATTTAGAGGGCCTGTTTGTGAGTCTTGTGTCATGCCCCAGTGACAGTTCTGAGTCACCAGGGACAAACACTGCCGTGCCCCTCAGGACAGCCCCTCCCTGTAAGCTATCTTCTCTTCCCAGTCTTGGGGAAAAGGGTTCACGCCCCCAGAACACTGTCCCAATCACCAAAGGATAAAGGAAGAACTGTGGGATTGCAGGGGTAGGATTTTGACCCAATGACTACATTTTAAAGACAAAAAGTAAGGGCAAGGAGGAGAAACAACAAGGAGGAAGAGCAGAGGACTAATTAAGGGCAAATCCCAGACTAGAGGCAGATCCCGCGGCTCCTGGCGATGACGCCGCCCAGCTCACAGACAGGAAACAGGCCCTGAGGAGGGAACTCGTCAAACAATAAGGAGGGGGAGGAACAGAAAGGTGAGGTGCCGCCAACGGGCAGCATCGCATCCCACCTGGCAGCTCCCTGTCCTTGAAAGGATCATCCACCTCCGCACTCTTGGCCCTGGCGTCGCTCTCACAACTGGGCATCACATAGCTGGGAAGAGAGAGAGATGGGGGTGAGGAGGGGTTAGGAACTGAGCTGACCTCGCCACTACTGCCAGCAACGATCTGTGTTGTCACTAAGCCTAGAGCTCCCAGAGCTGGCAGTAGAACACCTCCTGCGCTGTCCAGCTACAGGGCAATCCCAGCATCGGGGTTTCCACACAGACATGTTCAGGCATGTTCTTTTCATCGCTCAGGCATATGGATGTCTCCTTATGTCTGCACCTGGGATCTGTTCTGATCCATAGAACCCAGTGACTCAGGCAGAGCAATAACCTTCTCATCAGTGAACTGAGGTTCAGAGAGGTTAATTACTTTTCCAAGGTCTCCCAGCTAGGAAGGGACAGGCTTGTGACCAGCATCCAGGGCCCAGGTCTTTCTACCAGAGCTTCATCTGCCCATAAATGGAAACGCTGTTTTCCCAGTGCCTCGACTCCCACCAGCCAGGACAGTAAAGCCAGGAGGTGTGAGGAGCCAGCCTAACAGGCAGCTGGTTCTCGTGCTCCAGGGTACACCTGAGGGGCAGGACAGGCTTGGGGGGAAAGGGGACATACCGTGTGGAGGTCCCAGGCAGTGGGCGCCCCGTGTCCACCAGCACACACCAGCAGTAGCCAGTGGACTGGTGGCACTGCACTGGCTTATAGAGGCCCCCAGGGGCACACTCGGGGATTACAATGCCCTCACGAGGATTCTGCCGGGCCTCTTCCAGGGCACTCTGCCTCTCCTGGTCACACGAGTGGACTTTCTCTGCAAGAGAAGACACACACAGCCTGTGGTGACTGTCACTCCTGTAACTCTTCATTGCCGCCTTCCCTGCAAGGACCTGGCCTGGCCCTGGGGAACCGATGGCTTGGCTGGTGAATCAGCATAGACAGCTGGCTTCCACACCTGCCCAGGGTGAGGGCTGGAGGCCCAGAACCTCTCCCTGGCGCTCACTGCTGCCAGGGTTCATCAGTATTCACACCCAGCAGGTCTGGCCGGGGACTGCAGGCTGCTCTTTATCAGACCAGCGGTTTGCCTCACGGGCGGATTTCCTGATTTCTCAGAGTGGTTCCTGCTGATCACTGTCTCCTGGCTTGGCAAAGGAGGGTGCAGGGGCCTGACTGCCCCTCTAGCCCTGGGAGCTGACTAGCTGATGCAGGAATGTGTGTGTGTGGACACTCTCCCAAGCCCAGACACAGCAGGACAGAGTCGCAGGCCGCCAGCCTCAGGGGGAGTCATGGTCAGTGTCCAAGAGCTGCAGAAACGAGGCCCTACCCGCCCCACTGCTGCCCAGCTTCCAACACGGCCAGACAAAGTAAGCTGAACGGACTCGATCCTGTTACACAACACTGCTTCCATCCAATGGGAGAGAGAAACGGGCCCACAGGAAGGTGTCTGCACTCAGTGGCTTCAGGAAACATGCAAACGTTGTCTGAATAGCCAAACTTGGCTTCCCAGAGCCAGGCCCAGGCTGAGGCAGTGTGTGGTGCCCCTAGCCAGGCAAGGCCAGCTCAGTGGCCTCAGACCCACACGGCCGCTGACCTGAAAACTCTACCCAGCCAACCAGTCAACCTGCCTGATTTCCCTTTCTTGTTTGTTATTGTTGTTGTACTGTGCTTTGCCATGTTTTGTTTTTTAATTATCAAAGATAAATAGCACTGGGTTTCTTTTCTTGTTATAAAGAAAATTTTGAAAAACCCATAACCCCATTAAAGTTAAACACTTCCCTCCCTAGATCTTTTCTTCCGCACATACACAGGTGCAAATGCATGTGCACACTCCTACTTGTATTTTTACAATAAAAGGGGTAACATGATAAACCTGTACTATTACTTTTTTACCTACTTATTTATTTATTTACTTTATTATTTTATTTCGTTTATGAACATTATTCCAGAGCTTTCCTCTTGAAGAAGATGATAGGAATACAGTCTTGGACATGCCATGAAATTTTCACACAAAAATACCATTCTTAGAACCAGGAATTTGATATCAGCAACCTAGAGACTCGTATGGCTCACTGAACAAACAGTACAAATGATCAAAATAACAGAAACTTGACTCAAAAGGAGTGGAAATAATGGCTCTGTTAATGATACGCATATAAACAGTACAGATGTTTTAAACTATAGATGTGCACAGAGACGCAAAGCAGCTCAACACTGCTTTAGAGAGAAGTCAGATGATGGGAAATGATTCTTTGTCTCACGCTGACGAAAAATGCTGAAAAGCCATAATAGCCCAGTGATTCTCACCGCAGGGTGAGCGGAATATTTCCTTAGGGGCATAAGAATATCTGAGGGTCAGGAGGCAGGTACATATAGCACATTCACTATTAAACTATAATCTTCAATTTGGAAAATAAAAAAACAAGAAAACTACTGTTTTCATAAAGCAAACACAGCAAAGCTAAACAGAATCTCCTTGGCGAGAGAAACAGGAGTTTTCAACAGTGACAGACATTAGAGAAGGAATTTGGGACCCGATTATAACTACCACCAGAACAGCCACTAGAGGCAGCTTAAGATGGGGATATAAACTGATGGGTGAAACCTGGCTTGAAGACCCAGAATTTTCACTTGAGCCCCTGGCTGGGATGGAGCCATGGCACCTCCCAGGAGGTTACACAAGAGTTTTTCAACAGCTCCCCACCCCCAGTTTGGTAGCCTTATTTTCATACCTCGTATTTCATGCCACGGAGAAGGCGACAGAGGAGCAAAACCAAAGGAAAATGGCTTTTGACTGGTACCACGTTCATGCAACAACCTCAGACAGAGGCTTTAAATTAAGATCCTCCAGGCCAACATTCTAGAATAAGCCATAAATCAGACCAAAAGCCAGATGCAAAGAAGTGGGGGAGGAAGCTTCCTCAGGGGCAGAGCGAAAGATGAACCTGACTTCACACCATTGGGAATCCTGAAACTGCAGAAACGTGGAGAGTAGCCATCTAAAAAGAGGTGGGAACCATGGTTTTGGGGCTGTCGACAGATTTCTGGAAGTCCTTGAAGGCTGTTCTGAAACACTTACAGCCAGCTTCCATAGAGGCTGCACCAAGTTCAATGGAGAATAAAAACCATACAAGTGAGAAAGCTCGCTAATTTGGAAAAAATGAGGGCTAGCATAGAATTAGAGAGAAGGCTAAATGCAGGGCTTATTACCTTTTTACTTGTTTGCATGCTTGCTTGCTTGCTTGCTATTACTTTATGACAGTCCCTACAAGTCCACGTGCCCCTCTAAGAGAGAGACAGGAAAGGTTTATAATAATAGCACTAACTGTTTGTGAAGAGTACACAGAGAATTTATCTTCCAACAGAGAGAAAATCTCCCTTAAAACCATCTTTAAACTAATACTAGTCAAAGCAAATATTCACATAGTATGTGCCAGGTGGTATACTGAAGGGCTTTGCTTGCCAATAATCACTTTATCTGTGTGAGGTAGGCGCTATCTAGTCTGTCCATTTTGTAGATAAGACAGCTGAGCTTTGGAGAGGTCCATAAATTTTCCCAAGTTCACTCAAGCTGGAGAAGGAGGGCTGGGGTTCCAGTAAAGGGGTTCTGAGAACCAAGCCGGTCTTACTAACCTCTAGAGTCTAGACCAGCGGTTCTCAACCTGTGGGTCGCGACCCCTTTGGGGGTCGAACCACCCTTTCACAGGGGTCGCCTAAGACCATCGGAAAACAAAAAGATACTTACATTACGATTCATAACAGTAGCAAAATTACAGTTATAGAGTAGCAACGAAAATAATTTTATGGTTGGGGGTCACCACAACCTGAGGAACTGGATTAAGGGGTCACGGCATTAGGAAGGTTGAGAACCGCTGGTCTAGACAGTCCTGCCTCTAATCATTTGCTCTCAAGGAAAACTATATTTATTTTTATAGTGTAAAGCTTTTCCAGATCAGTTACTCTGCAAACTACTCCAAAACCAAGTGTGTTGGGCCGGCCGAGTGGCTCAGTTGGTTAAGAGCTTGCTCAAGAGTGTGAGCTCTGAGCAACAGCGGTTCAAGTCCCGGCCCGAGCTGAGCAGCCGCTGAGCTGCCAACAGGTGGCAGGATGGCTTAAAAAAAAAAAAAGGTGCAAAACCAAGTGTGTCAAAACACATACTTGCCCATTTGACACAGACCAGCTTCTTCTGAAACGATTTTTCTCAGCTTAAGCACACTACAAACCTTGTACCAAGCATTTTTTGCTCTTTGTCTCAGAACTTAAAGACTTAAAGCCAAATCTGTAACTCACCCGCCATTACAGAAGAGTAAAATGAGTAATAATAACTGACATCTATTTGAGCTAACATCTGTTTGGTACTGTCACTTTACTTGTATTAACTCACTTTAAGCTCATCACAAGCCTCTAAGACAGGTGTTATGATTTTCCTCACTGAGCAGAAGGGGACCCAGGTACACAGACTGGCTGTATGATTTTCTCAAGATCACTCAACTAGGAAGTCACAGAGGTAGGATTCCAGTCTAGGCAGTCTACTCCCAGACTCTTCACCTCTCTACAATATTGTCTTTCAAGCCAAAGGCTAATCTGGTTTTTATTCTAACTTGTATTTTTCTTTTACTTGGTTTGGCATATCGTTACAAAATGGTCCCAATGAATATCACCTCCTTGTATCCATACCCTTGTGTAGACGCCTCCACATTGACTCAGATATGCTCTGACCAATGGAAAGGGAGGAGGTAACAATGTGTAACCTCCAGTCCTAGGCCTTACGAAGACTTGCAGTTTCTACTTTCACTTTCTTGAAAAGCTACCCTGACATCACCACATAAGGAAGCCAGCCTAGCCCACTGAAGGATGGAAGGCCACACATTAAGAAAACCAAACGGCTCAGCCCACATCCAGCCCAAACTGCCAGACACGTGAATGAGGTCATCTTGGACATTCCAGCTCAGCTGACCCTCTGGCTGGATGAATCCAGGAGTGGGTTCAGGTAAAACCAGTCAAGGAACCACCAGTTAACCCACAGAAACATTAGAAAGAAAAAAATTATTTTTCTTTAAGCCATTAAGTTTTGTAATAGTTTGTAAACATCAGTAGATAAGTGCAACACCTAGATTTACTCAAATCTTTATTGATCAATTTTCCCCAAAAGTGTTTTGTAGCCCTCTCAGACCTTCAGCCAATCAATCAATCAATCAATCAATCAGTCAATCAATCAATCGATGATTCTTGCAGTGCTTTTCCAGAGGTCATGCAAATTCTAATCAGTGCATAGCCAAGATGAATGGAAGCATTAGGTGAGATCATCAAGAGCAAAGATGCATCATTAGAGACCAAGGCTAAGACGATCTACACTCTCATATTCCCAATTACTATGCATGGATGCGAAAACTGGACAGAGAAGAAGGCTGATAGGAAAAAAATTGATTCATTAGAAATATGCTTAGCTCTACAGATACCCTGGACCACCAGAAAGACAAACAAGTGTGTCCTAGAGCAAATTAAGCCTGAAACATCGCTGGAGGCAAAAATAAAACTGAAGCTGTTCTACTTTGGGCACGTCATGAGAAGGCAGGGTTCCTTGGAAAAGACAAAAATAGAAGGCAGCAGGAAAAGAGGAAGACCAAACAGGAGATGGATTGACTCCATCAAAGAAGCCTATGGCATGAGGTCACAGGAGCTGAGCAGGGCTATTGTGGACACCACTCATTCATAGTGTCACCAGGAGTTGGAGCTAACTCAACAGCATCACACACACACACACACACACACACACACACACACACACACACACACACCCCTCAAGGGGCATAAGCT